AGCGTCCTGAATTCATGTGACAGCTTAATCACAGTGGATGGTGTGGACGGGGAAGTGGGGACAGGACGCGGTGGCAGTGGTGTGGCCCAGCCTGCCTGAGGAGCCCTGGCGGGGAGGGCGTGAGGGTAGCAGACCTTGGTGTGGGCCCATGGGCGCCCAGGGGCCTGCGGCAGGCCAGAGCCAGAGGACAGCACAGGTGGGCCCTGGGGCTCGAATGCAGGAGGCCTGTCTGATCCACTCTCTCGGCTGCACTCTGGCACAGAGCACGTCCTGACCTTTGTACAAGAACTTTTTAGTTTGAAGTAATTTCAGATTTACAGCAAAAATTACCCCAAAAAGAGGTACAAAGAATTCTTGTATACTCCTCACCTAGATTCTGTAAATATTCACGTTTACCATATATTTTTTTATTATATACCAGCTTTATTGAGGTATAATTCATAGCCATGTTTGTTTTTAGTACTGGTTTGGCTATTAAAATTAGTGATAATCATTTGTCGGGTGTCTGCTTTCCTGTATTGTTTTTCTCAACAACCCTGTAAAGTAGATAGTGTTGTCCCGTCTTAGAAAGAAACTAAGGCCCAGTTCACACAGCTCGTCTCTGGTAACCCTTCATCAGTGGTTGTCGGCTGGAGAAACGGTGAGTGGAGCTGGGCCCAGCGGGGCTGGTCCCAGGACCCCGCCTGCCTGCTATCTCCCGGCCTTGGCTCCCCGCCGTGCTCACGGGTGGCACCGCCCTCCGAGCGGCCCGAGTGTGCCTGCACCTTGGGGCGGGGGTTAATTGGGGTCAGAGAGGCCAGGCTTTCTGGTAAAGAATGTGCTAGCCACCGGAGACGAGCTTTTTCCAGTGTTTCAGTTGGTCGTCAGCAGAAATCGAGGTACTGCGTGTCAGCTGATGCTCCAGCTCTGCTTCCGAGCGCCTCGGGCGCTGCTCACGGCAGCCTGACTCCATCAGCTGCTGGCTTGGGTTCCTCAGATTTGGGATTCTAGCCTGATTTCCTGTTCTCCTCTGGCCTTTTCTTTCCCTCTTGCATTTGATCCTAATTAGGGATTTTTCCACGTTGATTCAGACCTTAGGAGGAGGCTCTGTCCCCACTCAGCCCTTTGTCTCTGGCTGTAGTTCGCAGCACGCTGCTCTGAGAGGCGGCCTGCTGGCCTGGGCTCTGGCTGGGCAGGAGTTTGTAGCTCTGCCTTTTTCACCTTGTCTCCCCTGTAAAATAGCCATCCAAACAGATAACAGTATCGAACAGTAATGATTACTCGATAGCAATGACTGCCCCCCGCACCCTCCCCTTGAGTGCCTGTATACATCACACACTTACTTTGCTGGATCCTTCATCTGGGAGGAATCTGAAGCCCAGAGAAGTTTAGTAAGCTTGCCAAAGACCACAAAGCTAGAGTAAGTGGCCGAGCTCAAACTCAGATTCGTCTTTGGGACTCCTAAACTCATGTTCTTTCTGCGACCACACGGAGGATGCCACACACCCTCCCTCGACCAACGGACCATCAGAACACATGCAAGGATCAACCCTGGAACCATTGCAGGGAGGGTCCTGAATCCCAGACAGACATTTAGATCAATTTTTGCTGAGTGGCCACCCCTGGGATCTGGGCTGGTGATCTGTAATTTGGTGGGCTTAATGTCTAATGGGCACGTGGGCCTGTTTCCTGCAGGTATTTTGAAGGTGGTGTGTCATCTGTCTACCTCTGGGATCTGGATCATGGCTTTGCTGGAGTGATCCTCATAAAGAAGGCTGGAGATGGCTCAAAGAAGATCAAGGGCTGCTGGGATTCCATCCACGTGGTAGAAGTGCAGGTACAGCAGCCCCAGGGGCTGGCAGCCGGGCCTCTGAGTACAGGTGCCACACCAGCCATTGCAGCCCCGTTCTGTAGCAGAGGCTTCTCAGAGGGGGGAGCACTGAGATGCATAAGCCCCTGCTAGTTCCTGAAAATGCCCTGAAGCCACTGGATAGAGATGAGCAAGATCACAGAGGTCACATAATAAAGATCCCAGAAGAGCTGAATACATGGATCGCAGATTTGGTCCCTTTCAAAACCACTTGGGATTTTATAAGGAAAGGGCTGTGGTAACATCTTAGGATGGGACTTGGTAGGAGCCACTGCAGGCTCTCCTCAGCTCAGGGTTGCACCCAAGGTTCTGATCTCTGTCTCGTCCCCAGGAGAAATCCAGTGGCCGCACCGCCCATTACAAGCTGACCTCCACGGTGATGCTGTGGCTGCAAACCAACAAGTCCGGCTCCGGCACCATGAACCTCGGAGGCAGCCTCACCAGACAGGTAGAGGTGCCCGTGCCCGCCGCTGCCAGCCACAGGGCTGGTGGACGCAGAGGAGTGGGCGGTTGCCCCCAGGGAGGGGTCCAGGCCAGCCTGTGCCTGACGCGGGCTCCCCACAGGCCTCTTGGGGGTTCCTGAGATTCAACCATGGGAGGCTTTGTCTTTGGGTAAGGTGTTTTCATTAAAATACTCCTGTGACGTTTAGGACGTACTGCTGATAACATTTTACACTGAATTGATTTCTCAGTTGTGACGTAGATTGTGAATTAGGACTCTTGGTTGCAAGAGACAGAAGTAAACTCTGACTTAAGCGAAAATGAAAATGAATCAGCTCACATAACTGAGAAGGTCAGACGTCGTTCAGCGTAGCTGGGCTAGTCTAGGACGCAAGTGATGTCGTGACTCTGCCTCCACACGGTGGCTCCTGGAAGCCTCTAGCTCTTGCCTCTGGCAGTCCTGGGGGAAGGAGCTTCTCTTTCAGAACAGCTCTACCATAACCCCAGGAATGTCTTACTGGCCTGGCTTGGATTACTTGTCCATCACAGAGTCGTTTCCTGAGGCCAGAGGGAATGGAATAGTCTGGCCAGACTTGGGTCTTATGACCCATGGTGGGCTAAGTGGAAAAGGGGTGTTGATTTCCTAGAGCAAAATCTGGCTGCTTTTCGCAGTAGAGGGAAGAATAGACACAAGCAGGCAGCAGACATTGAACACTGGTCGAGGCGCTTTCTGCAGAGAGGACTGAGGGACATATCTTGTAGGTAGGGGTACAGCAGAGCCAGAGGGTCAGCCTGGATGGTTGGCCGCAGGCTGCCAGAAGAAGAGGCTGAAGTAAAAACTAAAAGGATACAGAGAGGGAAGCATCTAAGCGGGTTTACCTGCCCTGCCACGCAGGCACCTGGTAGGGACTGGGAACCGACAAGCATGGTGGCGAGCCTGCTGTCTGTTTGGCTCTGGCCCCAACACACAGCACAGCTCCAAGCATGGAACCCGGGGACATTCACCAGGATCCTCCAGTTTGGGCCCAAGCAGAGTACTTTTCAAAGCTCAGAGCACTCACTCACCTGGGAAAGAGGAAAGGAGTACATTTGGCCAAAGCAGTCAGCAGGCTGCTTGAGTCACGAGATGCACACAAATTGGGAGAGTTCAGAAGTCTCCTCCTAACTGACAGGACTTGGGTAGGTCAGGGAGCTTGCTTGGGACATAGCCCCTTCCTTTTATGTCAACCTCCACGAGAAGGTGGCATCCAGAATAGGTCCTGTCCTCTAGAGGGTGCCCAGGATTGCTCTGCCTGGCACCTCGCAACATGCCTGCTGGCACCCCCGCCATCCTTTTTCACAGGAGCCGCTAGGGTCCGGGGAGTTCCCGTTCTGTTCTGGTGCTGTCAGCCTTTTTTAAATGAGATTTTACATTCGTCCTCACGTCGTGTTTTGTTCGCCCTGCCAGTGACAGTAATGTCGAGTCTTGGTCCCCGTCATCCAAGCATTAGCCGTTCCTTCCGGCTTTGTTATTTGCACATTTACTAAGATGACTGTGTGTCTTGATATTAGCTCAAGACCAAGTTCAGAGCCCTCCAGCATGGTTACCAGAGACTTCCTGAGAGGGAGGCGTTAGTCTAACAGTCAGCTTCTTAGGGTCAGCTTGTGCAGCCAGCTGTAAACCCACTGTGACCCGGGCTTCACATTTTCGGAGAGTGCCCTTTGAGCTGTCTGTGGTTGTTCACCACCTGCCGTTGCCCAGCTGGCTTCCTGCCTTAGTAGGACCAGCTGGCTGCAGGCTTGGCCATGCTTGCTTTCTCCTCACTCTCATCAGGGCTCACCCGCCTCTGTACCCCAGGCTCGTTAGTGCTGTGAGAAGCAGTGCTTTGCTCCATTTCCCGTCTTTCTGGTCACGAGCAGCCCATCAGGCAGGTTGGCTCTCTGAGCCTCTCTTCTGCAGCTCAAGAGTGTCTGTGCCTTGCTGCTCATGGCCTAGTCCAGGACCAAAGAGCTTGTCAGAATCGCAGAAATCTGGAACCCTACCCAGGCCTACCAAATCGGGATCGAAATTTAAGAAAATGCTTCCGGTAATACGTGCACGTTAAATTTGACAGGTGCTACTGTGTACCTTTCTCTCGCCCATTTTTGCTTAGGTATCATTAGCAACCTATCTCCAAGCTGTCCCTTCCAGGTATATCTAAGGTGAACTGGGAGCTTGGACTAGAAGGCACTGCCTCCCCACAAGACGGCTTGTCCTGACTTCTACTTCACAAGCTACTTTAGGCATCTCAGCAGGTTTAAGACCCTTGTTTAAGGGTTCACCTTTAGGACCCTTGACAGCCCCTCCCAAGGAAAGGCCTAACCTCATGCCAGTGCAGTGCGGTGGGCGTCTGTGTAAGGGAAGGGAAGGTTCAGCCCACGGCAGCCTTGGCCTCAGGGAGGTCGGTATTGGCAGAAGAGCAGCCTCCTTGAGAACGTCCTCCGGAGGTGCCTTCTTCTGCGAAGATCACCTTCCCATTTCCCCTTTAGTAGTGCCTGACTTGATGAGGATTCCTTTTAACATCAAAAACGTTTTCTCGGAGCCGACCCCTTGGCCCAGGGGTTAAGTTCGCACGCCCTGCTTTGGTAGCCCAGGGTTTCACCGGTTCAGATCCTGGACACAGACATGGCACCGCTCATCAGGCCATGCTGAGGCAGCGTCCCACATGCCACAACTAGAAAGGACCCACAACTAAAAATATACAACTGTGTACCAGGGGGCTTTGGGAGAGGAAAAGGAAAAACATAAAATCTTTAATAAAAAAAAAACAAACAAAAATGTTTTCTCAATAAGATAATTATACTTTTAATAGCCATTGATAGCAAAAATCTATGGCAGAAAGGATAAACTTAGGAACTTGCTTAAGCAAATGTGTGTTATGGTCACACAGGCATCTGCATGCCTTGAACAGTGGTCGTGCAAGTGTGGTCCACTCGCGTGCCTGGGATGCGTATCGCAGCCTTAGACTCTCCATGTGAAACATCCACGACCTCCGCTGTGTCAGAGGGGCCTGAGGCCGGAAGGGGTCTTGGGGGTCCCTTTCTCTGGCCTCTGAGCAGGGCTGTCCCCTGGCCATCCCACAACCAAGGCTAGTTCTCACTGGGGCAGAGCCCATCCTTTTGCGTGGAAATGGGCCTTTGTCTTCCAGGAACCATTGACCGGGGAGGGGCAGCCAAACCCCCAGGCAGCCAGCGCTCCCCCAGCCAGCCTCCCCCTGCCCTGCCACCTGGGAATGGTGGAAAATCCTAAATCTGTGTCCAGAGACTGTTTCCTGCATCACTTACCGCTCTGAACTGTTTATAATTCCACTGGGTTTACAGTGACCTGGACAAATATTTAATCCTCAGCCTTCCTAATAGTTTAAATCAGAGCTGTCAGCCCGTGGCCAGAGTCTGGTTCCTGCCTGCCGTGAGCAGTGCCTCCTGCCGAGCCAAGCACAGGCCTGGCGAGCGGCTGTCCTCCGCGCCCCGGCTGCACCGCGGCCTCATTTGGATTGCCTTGTGCTCTCGCGCTTTAATGAGGAGGTCCATGCTTCTGCCATCATCCGAACGGCTGCCACGTCACTCATCTGAGGTGCATTAAAGCTAGGGCTGGCTTCCAATGTAAGTAACTGGAAAGGGAGGGGCAGGGAGCAACAGGGACACAGATCCAAGTTAATGATGCGCAGCTTCTGAGCAAACGGGAAATGAGGGTTGCGGCTTTAGCCGTGCGTCCCAGATGAGCCTTGGAAACACGTGTGTGGTTTCCTTGGCTATGAGATGAAGGGGTTCCCGGAAAATGGAGCACATCAGTGATAGAGAGGGAACATGCGTGGTTGTGTGGGCTGTCTCCTTTGATTAGACTGTAAGCAAGATAGAGTTACTCCCATTTAACAGGGGAGGACACTGAGGTTCCAGCTGGTTAGTAATTTGCCTGTGGTGCCTTGTCTAGTAGGAGGCAGTCAGGATTTGAACCCAGATTTGTCCACCTTAAAAAAATAGTCTACTTTCTACCATACCACACTTTTTTGGTTTTCCTCTGTCCCGTGTACCTGGCATTCAGTAGATTCTAAATAGATGTTCTAAGGGAAATGTATTGAGCAGACGCAATACATCAGACACTACCCTGTGGGCGGCCAGTGTTCCCAGAAACAGGCCTGGCGATGGGGCCAAAGCTGTGGAGTCACGTGGAGGGGCAGGCCTCCTGGGAGCATGCTCAGCAGCACCGCGTTGGGTCCCTCCTTCAGAGTTCGTTTGCTGTAAGGTGGCTTCTCCTGCAGGAAGCAAGTTGGCTGCATGAGACACATTCACCACCAGAGGTGGCGAGCAGGCTGTAGGATTTGTAGGGAGTCGAGTGACCTCATCTGATGCGTGTTTTCAAAAGATGCCTCTGCTGGCTGGCATGGAGGGTGGGTTGGCAAGAGAAGACCGTTAGAATCGTCCAGGAGAGAGGCGACCAGGGCCTGGATGGGCGCAGCCCTGGGAGGGCTAGAGGGGACAAGCCTGTGGCCAGGAGGGGCCAGTGAAGGAGCTGGCGTTGGCCTCAAGGCACGAGGAGGAGAGAGGGAGGGACAGGTCGGGAGACATTTTGGAGTAGAGTGGTCAGGGCTTGGGGTGACCACCAGGATGTGAGCAGTCGGGGGTCCCATGAAGGTCTTCCTCCCTTGAGCTTCTCCATTAAGCCACACCGGCAGTGGCCCAGGCGCAGGCTTTTCCTCTGGATGCTGGCCCCACTGCACTCACACACTTGCTCCCACACTCACACGTGCCCCAGGTGCAGCAGGAAGGAAAGGGCTATCTCGCCAGGCCCACGGTGCCGGGCGCCCACCCTGCAGGCCGTTCTGGCCGCAGTCAGGAACACGCAGCAAGGCCAAGCAGGCCCGGCCCCAGGGCTCCCAGTTCCCCCAGTTCCACGTCTAATGCACAGAGGCCAGACAGTCTGTCTAGTTACACACACACACCCCTGAGACGGAGGTGCCACCACACAGTAGGACAAGGCGTCCACACCTTGGCAGCAGCCAGGCCTGGGTCGCCCTTCTCTGGGCACGGCCCCCAGGTGCTCCGTCGCTTTCCTGTTTCCCACGCCCCGTCCCGAGAGGGACTGCGGCTTAGGCCTGGTGGAGGCTCTCCACGTGGGCCCCTCCCATCCCAGGGCCTTCCAGGCTCTGCCCTCAGCCCCCTCCTTGCTCACTTGAGATGGCTTCTGGGGGTGCAGGTGAGTGAGACAGAGAGTTGCCCCCACTGACTTTGTGTAAATCGTTGGTGAATTTAACCAGGACAGATTAATTGCTTGAGTCTCATTTCACACCTGGTCATGACACCGGGTGTGGAGGCCACAGTGCGCTCAGACCAAGTGCACGCTAGGCGCCCTCACCCCGTCTCCTCCACTTTGGCCTTTTGTCTCCCACCCCCACCAAAAGATGTCTCTTAGGGATGTCAGCTGGAAGGCGAAGCAGATCAAGTGTTTTGGCAAGTCCCTGCAGCTGTGGGGCTGTGGGAGGAAAGGTGGTCAGTGGTGTTTGTGGAAGCTCATCCCGGCCAGATCAGACCGTCCTGTGAGGGGAGGAAGGCGGAAGGTGCCCTTTGGCGGACTGCCACCTAGGCCCCAGTGGAAGGCTGTGGAGCGAGTAAAAAAATGTTGTGAGCCAAGTACCAGCATGTTGAAAAGGAAGTTGCATGGAGAGGTCACTTCTCCTGTGTGACAGCTGGAGATGTGGGAAAGAGGCAAGACCGTAAATCTCTGGAAAGAGATCCAAGGTTTCCGACCCGAGGCCGGGCCCTGCAGATGTTCATTTTTTTCAGAATCTAAATATTTAGAAATGAAGGTGGAATGTTTTGTTGGGGGAAAGTTGAGGCCGGTCATTTGCAAGGCCAGCTCTCTCCCCGCTCAGCAGTAGGTGCCCGTATGTGATTGTCTCCAAGCGCTGAAACTCCAGCAGAGACGCCCGTCCGGGTCGTGGCAGGGAAAGCTCTGACTCGTGCTTGGCAGTAGGTAAGGCTGTGTATTTGAGCAGAGGCCCATGGCCCTCCTTCCGGAGGCAGGGCACGAAGGCGGCCGGGCCCGGGAGTGCTCTCCCACTGCGGGAGACACAGCCACAGCCGCGGCCACGCTCCCTGTGCTCCGGGCGGGGAGACACCTGGGCAGCGTGGCTTCTAGGGACCGTGTGGCTTCAGTCACCTGACCTGAGGTGGAGCGACCCAGCGCCTGGTTGAGAAGGAAAGCTGTGTGAAACTGCCTCTGGCGACTGTCCCCTGCTGGGAAGGACCGGCAGGAGAGGAAGGGATCGGAGGTGGGGGCGCAGGGACGGGTACTGCTCGGAATTTCTGAGCCCTGCACTGTGCTTTGTCCTTGGTTTTTCCAGTAAAGAACGTGGATCAAGAGCAAATGGAGAGGTATCATGGAAGAAGACAGGTTCAGAACCCTCCAGACCTCGGTGCAGATGCTCGCCTGGTTACTTTCCAGCTGGGTGACTAGACAGACCGCTTGCCTTCTCTGGAACTCGGCGTTTTCCTCGTGGAGCTAGTAATGCCTCTAGAAAGATTATCGTAGAGTAGGAATAGAAAGTCATTTTGACACGTGGTTTATGCTTAGTAAATAGTAACTATTACTACCATGTATCTTGCAAGCAGAGACTTTCCTATCTTCTGGTATCTGTACAGTTTCAGGCTCAATTAAAATTTTCCCAAACTAGGCAGACCTAACCTTCCTTGAGGAGGCTGCCTGAGCACCGTCTTCTGGCCTGACGGCGTGTTACGTCCCGGCCTTCTGCCAGCCTCTTAGCCAGAGCACAGCTCGGTCATCGGGAGGACACCGCTGGCTTCTGCCGAGAGCCAGGACCAGAAGAGTGCTGGGAACGGAGGTGCCATTCAGCCAGGCACCGTTGCGGGCATTGTGCGCTTATTCGCTCATCTAGAACGAGGTAGAGGCAAGGAAATTGAAGCCAAGAGAGGCCAAGGCCCTGGCCCCTCGGGCTCCATTGCAGGAGCTATGGAGTTGGGGCTGGCTGCCTTCAGGGTCCCACTTTCCAGGCCGTGTGCACTGGAAGATGCACATGGCAGTGGGAGACACCAGACAGAAACAGCCTGCTTTCCAAACCCTTGCCCACACCCTCCCCATCCCCAGGCCACAGAGAGGAGGAGAGGTGCTTGATGGGGACGAGTGGGCTGGCCTCTGACTTCAGCCTCAGTTGGAACCACCTTGTGGAACATCTGTGCAGCCACAGCACATAAAAATGTTTTTCTTTTGGCAGCCGCTTTTATAAGGATGTAATAATATATGCGTTGCAAAAATAGTTCTATTTTTGGTGGGTCGGCATTGCCAGCAAGCTGCCCCTGACCAGGTGTGGAGGGAGTGGGCAGGGGTGTGGGCGAGGGGGCTGTGGAAACATGTCTGTGTGCCAGGACCCTCTTCCCACCTTCTTCCTTTCCTACCCCGTCACTGCTGGGCCTTTTCCTTGGGCTTAGATCCGCTGCCATGAGCTTAGGGACCCTGTGTGACCTCCTGGCGCTCAGTCTGCTCCTGCGGGAGACCCTTCTCACTCCCCCCCTTCCGCCAGGACCTCTTCTTCCCTTGAGCATCCAGAGGTTTCAGCCTTTCCGTCATTGGAAGGGGGCTCTTAATTCTGAAGCACAAAGGTGATGCCCAAGAGGTTGGGTTGCTGATGTGACTTTACTTACCCTCGTGGCCCTTTGCCAGCAGTCCTGGCCTCACTCTGGGCTGTTGGTGCTCATTTAAAATGGGGCCCTCAATGAGCTCAAAGCCTCATTGCTTCCTTGGGGTTGCCAGAAATGTGCCCTCTGCGTGGAGCTGGGGAGGGAGGGAAGGAGTCTCTAGGGCCAGAAGGACATAATTCCTTTAGATCAGACCCCCAGGCTCCTCCCTGCCCAGAAGAGGTGCTGAGTGGCCCTCAGTCTGGGCATAGGAACCGTTTCCATGTCGGGGGAGAGAACACACTATCCCAGTGTGTTCGCCTCCAAAAATCTCTTAAAAATGGGTGGACAGGGGCCGGCCCCATGGCCTAGTGGTTAAGTTCAGCATGCTCTGCTTCGGCGGCCCAAGTTCGGTTCCCAGGTGTGGACCTACACCACTTGTCTCTCAGTGGCCATGCCATGACAGTGGCTCACATACAAAACAGAGGAAGATTGGCAACAGATGTTAGCTCAGGGCAAATCTTCCTCTGCAAAAAAAAAAAAAAAAAAAAAAGTGGATAGAGCACTGTTCTTCCTCCTGAGTGTGCTTCCAACTCCTGTTCAACATGCACACACTCAGCTGTCTTGGCAGCAGGGTCTTGCTGAGGGCAGGCAATGCCCCGGCAAACAGTGTGGCTCTGCCTGGGGCGGGGTACTTATTAGACCAGAAATGGTGGGGTGTAGCTGCCCCTTTTAAGTTCATGGGCACTCTCACTTCTCCTGTTTTGTGGGGACCCTTGGAGTCACTGAGGATCAAGACTTCCCAGGATTGCTGGCGAAAGAGTGCCTGGGACAGTTCAGGGCCCAGTGTGGGGGCAGAGAACCCGAGTGCTCTAGCTTCTCTCTCTCCCTTGTTTCCATTTGGCCTGTCCTCAGCAAAACAGTCTTGCCAGAGCCGGACATCTTTGTTCTGCAGAGATTCCATCTCATAACTTGGAAGGGCCTTTCGAGGCCATAGGTTCCAGACTGTCACTCTACACCGGATCCCCCCTGTTGTAGCATCTTGACAAATGGCCACCTCATTTCTCCTCAGACAGCTCCAGGGACCTGGGGCTCATTGCCTTCTAGCAGACGCCTGTTCCAGACAGATCTGTCATCCCGTGGTGTTCCCTCGCCCCGTGGTCCCCCACTGCCCTTGGCAGTGGCGTGCATTGGGTCTGCTCCCCCGGCCTGAGCACCGCCAGGATCTCCTGAGTCTGCCTGCCCAGCCTGAAATACCCCCAGTTCTCTCCCATTTCTTGGGGTCAAGGTGTTCAGACCTTTTAAGCGGATGAACTCTAAGTTGTCCGTGGCTCTCGTAAAACCCAGTGCTCTGCACAGAATCCAGCCCTGCAAAGGGGCCAGGGCCTGCACGGAGCAGAAGGGACCATTGCCATCCCGGGTGAGTGGCAGAGGCTTGCAGCTGCAGCTTTGTCACATGTGGGGTGAGAGTGCTGCCTCTGATCTGGCACAGGAATAGTTTCATTACAGACTTCAAGTGGCATGAAAGCTGTCGTAGCAGCCACATCACGTTCTTGTCAAGCTTGAAATCATCTGCAAACCAAGAGTCTCCTAGAGAACTTGCTCCCCCGCTTGTACTGGGCTGACATGTGGGCCGAAGGTCTGGCTTGCGTTTGCCCAGGTGAGTGGGCAGCGTCCTGAGGCAGGGAATCAGCTGTGATCTGGGCAGATTGCTTGACGTCTTTAAGCTTCAGTTTCCGGGGTTTAACGTGGAGTTCTTATGAAGACTAAAGGAATGAGGTGACTGCCCCCGGGAAGTGCTCCACGCTTGATGGCTGACCCACGTTTCCGGGTTCTGTAGTGACCCTTCTGATCATCTCACCCTTGATGCTGCTGACAGGCTGCCGATGGGTCTCACCTGTGCCTGCCTTTAAGTTCTGGACAAACAGGTTGACCCAGGGCCAGGGAGAGACTCCTGCAGGATGCCACAGAGGCTGCCCTGGGGACATCGGGCCTGATCCCTATCGGCAGAGGCTCCGTCTGAGCAGGCCATCGTCCAGCCCATGCCTCTGCCACTGCCACAGCCACAGGGTATTAGACGGAACCTGCCAAAGTGATGTGATCTCACCAGAGGAGTTCTCTGCTCTTCAGCCCTGCATCCCCATCGAAATAGGAAATTAGAGATTCTCCTGGCGGAACTTAGTCATAGCAAGGCCATGCTGGCTTCTAGAGATAACTGCTGTAAAATGTGCTAACAGATGATTTTTAACAGCCCCATCAAACACTGTTGTCTGGGACCGACCCGTGGCACAGTGGTTAAGTGCGCACATTCTGCTTCGGCGGCCCGGGGTTCACCAGTTCGGATCCTGCGTGCAGACATGGCACCGCTTGGCAAGCCATGCTGTGGCAGGCATCCCACATATAAAGTAGAGGAAGATGGGCACAGATTGGCAGCAGATGTTAGCTCAGGGCTAATCTTCCTCAAAAAAAAAAAAAAAACTGTTGTCTGGATCCAACTAGTGTTTAATTTCTAACTCTATCCTCCCTCTTTCTTGACAGTAGTGTCGCCCTCCCAGTGCCCTGGCCCCTCTCAAGTGCGCTGTAGTGTTTCAGGGACAGCCGTTTCGGAATCGGGTCCGTCTGCCCCTGGAACCCTAATCGTTTGAAGTGACTGGGTTCTCTCCTACCATCAGCTCGCCCGTCTGTGCTTCCCCCTCCCTCACAGGGTCTCTCCTACTTTCTGGGCCTGAAAGTCGTCCCCTTGGTGGCGCAGCAGGGGCCACTTGCCTCCGAGCACGCCAAGCCGGGCCCGGAGCTCTAGCCTTCCTGATACTGTCTCCTCTTGTCATCCTGTCTCTTCATTACCTGTTTCCGCTTCCGTGTTTTATTTCCCCAGCAGTGGCCGTGACAGCTGCCTGTCCTTAGGTGCGAACAGTGAGCTTTGTGTGCTCACACCTGCCGGGCACCCTGCAAGGCGTAAAGCAGACGAACCTCTTCTGAAGCAGTTGGTGATCTTGTGAAGGAAATAAGTGTAAACTGAGGAAGAAAGTGGGGAAATCCGTACTTCATGAATAAGCGTGCATGCTTCCCTCTTGCCTCCCTGCCCCCTCTCCATTCAATACTCAGTTTTGACTATGGGCCGGCACCGGCTCTGCCTGAGGCTCCAGGTGCTTGGGCCCATCCTAACCTGGGCGTCTAGATTGAGATTCTCCACGCTGACCCGGCCGGTCCCGCAGCCCCACAGAAAGAACGCAGGCTCTGAAGTAAGAAAGGGTTTGACCCAGTTCTGCCATTGCTGCTAACGTTGCAAAGTCACTTTCTCTCCCTGAGCCTCGGAGCCTCCTGTCCCCCAGGGCTGTCGGTCCCCCTCCGTGGCTGCCGTTACAGGTGCAGGCGGGGCACAGCAGTGTCATGGCACGTTGGAGACTCACCTGCGGTGTCAGGCCCCAGCCCAGGGACAGACCACCTGTGGCTGTGCCTGCCTGCAAGTGGTGATGTAACGACAAACTAGGCGCATCCTCCCCAGTCGGCCTTGGGTGAGCTGGTGCCTGGCAGGGTGGTCACCTTTGCCCTGCCGTGGGCTTGGGGGGTGGCTGCTCCACCAAGGGTGGCAGCAACACACTCTCCCCTGGGAACAGTGACTCTGGGCTTCTGCTGGCTGGGCTGTTTATGACCTGAAATTTAAGTCATTTTGTGCTGGGGTTCCCCACTGGAAAAGTGGCCGTGTACCCCCTGCTGCTGGCTCCCGAGGGGCCAGCAGGAATGACAGGCTCTCTGCACACTGTGGGGCGGGCCGTGCTGTCATAGAAGCTGCCCGTCGCAGGGAGCACCCGGCTCCCTCTGACTTGGAGGGACGTTCTTGTCTTTGCAGATGGAGAAGGATGAGACTGTGAGCGACTGCTCCCCACACATAGCCAACATCGGGCGCCTGGTAGAGGTGAGTGCGCTCCGGCTCTGGGCCGCCTCCGCAGTGCATGACAGCTTGCCCC